ATGCTCGTTTATTAGATAAAGTTCGGGGTTGTCCTAATCTTTGCCCATGTTGTAATCGACCATGTGATGTTGATCATACACAAATTAAATCACGTCCTGGCTCTCAAGATAATGAACATCGTTGTACAACAGGACATGCGTTAAGAGCAATGAATGGATATAAATTTGAATCGACTGATGAAGCTTCTTTATTAATGTGAGAACATATTAAAGATGATCAAATTATTGTTAACGGTTCACAGAGAATAAAATGGTCGAAATTTAAATTACATCATAAAGATTGGAATTTTCAATCAACATTAAATGATGAAGAATTAAAAAAATTATTTAGTAAATTTTTAACTATCTGGGCAAAGATTGGACCAACACTTTGTCGAAAATATAACATGACATACGTTATTTTTAATAGCAATCACAATTATGCCATTACTTATGAATCTTTTCATTGGATTTTACTTTTGGATGGATCAGGTTCAATGGCCGGTGCACCATGGAGAGATTTAAATCAAGCTGTAAATGATTTTGTCACTCATCGACGTGCATTAAACACTATTGATCGTATTAGTATTATTATTTTTTCTGATAAGACTATTGAAGCATGTTTGGATGAAGATATTCGAAATGTAGATCTATCTAAAATTCAATTTCCAGCTGGTGAGACACATTTTGGTAGTGCATTTGCAGCTGTCAATAACTGTATCAACCGCGTTAAATCTAATAGCAATAGATTGACTACTTCCACCAGTAGTCCTTTTAATTTTGCTATTATCTTTATGACAGATGGACAAGATGCTTATCCTGAAGCACAGCTAAATCAATTAATCAATGAACATGGTACAGAGATTCGATTTTGGTTATTAGCACTTGGAGGTGATTTAGATGAAACAGCACAATATATTTTAGCACAAATTAATGATAAAATGCGTGGTTCTTATTATAGTCTAGCTGCTTCAAGTGAACTGAGCCAAACTTTTGCCGAAATTGCAAGCAATACAACTATTAACGACGATAGTGGTTGATTGTTTGTTCAAAAAAGAAGTTTTACTGTACATTCTCACTTCTATTCCTGCTAATGGTTTAACCCTTTGAGGACCGGTGGTCCAAAAATTGGACCACCTATTTTTCAAAAAAGAAAAAAGTGTTTAGTTCACATTAAACTATTAAACATGTAAGGTTATTAAGGTCATAAGTAACTGCATGTTTCATCTCATACTTTTCTTTTCTTTCTTTCCTTCTCCCATATAGATTCTTTTCTAATATCCTTTGTTCTTGCTGCTAAGATACAGTAACGTCATAATTTCACTCTTCTCTTCTGATCTTTTGTTTTCGAGAATGTTCTCATTCTCTGTTAAGTATATAGGGTGTCCAGTAAGTAACTCCACAAAGAAAAAGTTGAATATCTTCATTACAACTCGACCAAACGGGCTCATTTTTTTTACCAAGGATAGAGGCATGTTCACATTTCAAATC